ATACTTGGGTATTCTTCAAGCTGACAACATCAAGCACACTGAAGTCAAGAAAAAGATTAGAGGTGAATACATCAAGAGAGTGAAGAAGATCTTAAAGTCCAAACTCAATGGAGGAAATACCATAAAGGCAATCAACACCTGGGCAATCCCAGTCATTAGGTACACAGCTGGAATAGTGGACTGGACTCAAGCAGAACTAAAAGCAATGGATAGGCAGACCAGAAAAATAATGACAATGAATCATGCCCTTCATCCACGCAGTGACATTGACAGACTTTATCTACCAAGGCAAATAGGTGGGCGTGGAATGCTACAAGTACATCAGATGGTTGAAGAAGAAAAAATGGCTTTGGAAGAATATCTGAAGAACAATGATGAAGATGCACTGAAATTAGTATATCAGGAAGGCTTACTAACTACTGGAGAGACCAAACTGGCCTACAAGAAAGACCAAATGAAGAACAGAATAGAGGCATGGGAAGACAAAGCACTACATGGCCAATACATGAAAAAAATAGCTGGGAAAGCAGATAATAATAAAACCTGGCAATGGCTAAGAGCAGGAAAATTGAAGAAAGAGACCGAGGGACTAATTCTGGCTGCACAAGACCAAGCCTTAAGGACAAATGCATACAAAGTCAAAATTGAGAAGACAGCAACAGACAGTAAGTGCCGCCTATGCAAAGAAGCTGAAGAAACAGTGGACCACTTGGTAAGCTGTTGCAAGAAGATTGCACAGACTGATTACAAGCAGCGGCATGACAAAGTAGCAACAATGGTGCATTGGAAGATCTGCAAAAAATATCATTTGCCTGTAAGCAAAAACTGGTGGGATCATAAAATAGAGAAAGTCATAGAAAATGATAAAATTAAACTGCTCTGGGACTTCAGAATTCAAACAGACAAGCACCTGCAACATAACACCCCAGACTTAACAATTGTCGATAAGAAAGACAAAAAAGTCTGGATAGTGGACGTGGCAGTGCCTGGAGACAGCAGAATAGAAGAGAAAGAACTGGAGAAGATAACAAAATACAAAGACCTACAAATAGAAATAGAAAGACTGTGGCAAAAGCAAGCAAGGGTAGTACCAATAGTCATAGGCTCCTTGGGTGCAATCCCAAAACAACTGGAGCACCACTTGAACACCATTGGCATTGACAAATTCGCTATTAGTCAATTGCAAAAGGCGGCCTTATTAGGAACTGCTTCCATCCTGCGACGATACCTGTAATACCATCAAACATCCACATCTGCCTATCCCAGGTCCTGGGTAAGGACTCGATAGGTAGACAAAATGCCAAATCCAGTCTGAACATCTGGCTGACTGTGCGATGATCCATAATAATAATAATAATAATAATAATAATAATAATAATAATAATAATAATAATAATAGAGAAGTATGAAAAAAGGAAGTGTGATTAATGTGTCATTCTATTCATATGCCATTCTTCATGCATATGGCTTTATTCTATCTGTTATAATGTATAAGATTCAAGATCTATGGCATGCAGGTAGCTGCATAGAGCTGATATACTATATGCCATTTCTGCACTGTGAGTGGAAGTAGATTAATAATTAAGTATAATGTTTGACTTTATATATGATTTTCTTGATTCCACATAAAGAGATTCTAAGCAATATATATTAGTGCAAATACTTGAATATTCCTATCAGCACTAATATTGGTTGCTAGAATATTGAATGTCTATACTATAGAATAATGATGATTGTAAATTGGCTTCCAAAGAAGGTAACAAGTCATATTATTCTGGCATATTAGAAAAAATGTATTTATTTTCTACTAAAAAATTGTATTTTTTTACTTTGGCTTTATGTCAGCATTTTTGGAAGAGAAATCAGTTTCGTTAAATCAACAAATATTTGACATGCACTATAAGATTATCCGTTTATTCCTCACTAGATCATTTGGTTACGCCTAAAATACATTTTATTTTGCTGCAGTCTAAACACGGACTTTGTATTTCTCTGTCTTGTACTATAGGGAGTAAAATGCAAATAGTTATGTAAAGTTCCAAGAAAGATCATAATGCATGAAGTACAATTTAGCAATGCAATAAAATTGCAAATACATAGACTGGGAAATCACTTGTCACTTCTCATTAGTTTTATTAATATAAATCTGAGAAGCTGTAAAAACAAGATTTTGATATAGTAAAATGGATACTCAATCAGCAATGCCAATTTCTTTTAGAAAGTTGAAAGTTGTCATCTCACCAGGCCTGATACCTGGGATTAAAAAAAGTTGTACTATTAGAAATCAGAATATTGAAACCATATCAATTGCTTAAGAGAAGTACTATATACTTTTTAGATAGGCAAATTATTTAGTGTTAATAAATATGTAATACTGAATAGAAGATTTCAGATATTTCCCTAATAATAAATCTGATTGTGAAAATGTCCATCTGATATTCTTCAGGGGAAATAATGTGGAAACCTTTTCTTAATTCTAATTTATTTTATACAGTTTTGGGCACAACTAATACTTTTATATTGCTTAACGTCTGTGGAGATTCTCAGTCATCCAGATCATGCCCCTAAAGTGCTTTTTCAAAAGACAACTGGACTTTTTTTTTCCTTGAAGAAGTTTCGCTTCTCATCCAAGAAGTTTCATCAACTCTCCTCAGCTTTATATTGCTTGATATGTCCCACAAAACACAATATTTAATTTTTCACTGTATTAGCGATTCTCTGATATTGCAATCTTACTTCGCTTTGCTGCACTATAAACTAACATTTTTAGGCTGAGAACCTAAAAGCACTTGAATGTTCTCATGTTTTTCTTTAAATGACAGTCCCCATGATTTCTACCAATTAGAAAAATCAAGCAATAGGAAAGTGACTATTTGCAGATCATAACCTCAGGTTAGGCTGATCAAGTTGTCTGCATGTAGTTTAGCACTGCTAAGCAATTCCCCAAATACATCTTTTAAACAGATTTTGAAAAATCTCATATAAAAAATAATGCAAAATGTCCTCAGATGGTGTTTCCTGACTTTCTCCTTATGCTTCTTTGGATAATTGCCAATGGTGTAATTCTTGTCAGGTGGCTGATTTAAAAAAATAAATAAGGCCAGTGAAATATAACGGTTTCTTGTATTGTGTACCACTATATTGACAAATTTACTTTCTTTTGTTCCAAGCTGCTCAAAAACATTGCTGTCTATAAAATCGTTTAGGTCAAATTCAAAATTTGCCAGCAAAGGCTGGCAGAAGAGTGTAAGCAGTTGGAAGTAATTTGGACCAGCAATTGGATTTGAAAAAGACATTAATCATAATGGCAGAAATCAGCTGTTAATTTCAGGCTGGATAAATATAATCACAAACACATTCAAAGGGTATTTTTCATAAGATGCCAATATTAAATCACGTATACTTTTTTCAGAGATGTATAAGATGTGTTTAGAATATATGTTACATGGCAGATAGCATTTTTGAATATGCCTTGTTACCAGAATGAAGTCAGACTCTGTATTAAGCCCCAGACCACTTACCACAGCTCCTTATATAACCAAAGCATCCCTGTTCCTCCTTCCTCATGTTCCATATTCCATTACACGTCCCCATCTACATTGCCATCCATTCCATCTCTGAGCAACAGTACTATTTTTCTTACTTGCAGTGGTTCTACTACATGTAGCCTCAGGCTCAGGTCAACACAAAATTCAATTGTAGTAGGAGGGAAAGAGCATGGACACTCAGACAAGCCACAGTCTGGGAAAATCTGGGAACTCGTCCTGACCAACCTTTCCTCAGCAACTCATAAGTGCTGGCTGAATAACTTAAACCCTACTACTATATTATATTAATTAAACTTGTATGTCACTTGACTCTCATTGATTTCTCCCTACCCTGAAGGATGGTTAAAGACCAGGGCAGTTTGGAGGAAAAAATCACAGTGAATAATTCTAGCACATGGTTTCTGTTATTTCCATTTAAGTAGAGATGCATTTAGGCTGGCTGATACTCTGATGAACTATCATTTGAAATACTAGTTATATCTAGTATTTCTAGACCATCTATCATACCATGATATGTTCCTGAACTTGCACAGTCTGTGCATGTTTTCTGTTCCTTTCTGCTTTTCTTTTCTTTTTTTTTAACATCTGTTTAGTCTCATATGATCAGTGCTCAATCAATCCTTCTGCCTCTTCCACTATTTGAGTATAAGCTACACTGGAGGAATGTTTTGGGACAGTGTTTATCAAACTTGGCAATTTTAGGATGTGTGAACTTTAACTCCCAGAATTCCCTAGTCACGTGCTCAGTATTAATATTCTAAGTACTCTATATTATCTGCATCATATATTTAATTATATACCTATACAGAAAATTATCTTTTGAAAATAGTATTGTAACTCATCTGAGTTTTGTAAAAGCTCACTTACTCACTTCAATATATTTAACAGCTTCCTAAAACCTGTGCCTACACATCTGAAGTCATTCTCTCTCAAGCATTTTATATAATTTAGATGTCCTGTGGATCCCATCCAGAGTTATTGTGAGTACTTTGGCATCTGTGGGCATTATAGTCACAATCTTTTTTTCACTCAAGATAAGAACCAGAAAAAGTCTAAGTTCCAACTTAGCTTGGGGGCTCACTTCTAGTAGGTCATTGTAGAAAGTAAGGAAGGACCCTTATGGAAATATGCAAGCTCTGTTGCCAAAGCAAAAAGAATTGCAATATATTTTAAATCCACATCAGACAAAAAGTATGCCTAAGAGGTTCAGATAGACACCTTCCTAATTCACAGAAGTAAATAAAGGAGGGAGTAGATATAGCATAGGGGTCTTCAATCTTGGCCCTTTTATGACCTGTGGACTTCAACTCCCAGAATTCCTAGCCAGTGTGCCTGGCTGAGGAATTCTAGGAGTTTTGAAGTCTACAAATCATAAAAGGGCCAAGTTTGAAGACCCCTGATATAGCACAATCAGATTCAATTATTATAGCCACTCTCTGTAAAAGTGGGATTCATGGGATTCAATTATTATAGCCACTCTCTGTAAAAGTAGTTTTAGCCTCCCTGTAGATTTTATTTTCTGGTCTGGTCTACCTAATGGGGCTGACAATAACTTTGGGCCTTTTATCTGAACCTATTTTTATTATAAGATAATATTTGCTCTTGTATTTTTGTTTTTCATTCTATAATCTAATAAAATGTTACAAACAGCCTAAGATAAAATTGGAAAAGACAATGCTATCATTATTCCTGGGGTATGAGCAATAAATGAATTAAGTAAGCTTTATGCTTCCCCCACCAGTCAAATCAGAATAGAAATCATTGATTAATTGATATTATTCAAGTATTAAGCCCTCCTCCACTGTACTTCAAAGGTGGCTTATAAATAAATTATATTATATTATTTGATAAATAGGATAAATAATAGTTACCTCATTTTAATTAATGCAGCTTTCTCTTTTTAATCTGTTCTGTCTCTTTTGGATCTGCCAGAATTAGACAACACAGCACAAATACAAGTGTTCCCTTAGGATCTTTAAGTAAATATTTTTCTTTATATAAATACTAGTACAAATACTAAAGATTTTGTTTCCATTTCAATGCCCTACCATTAATCCAATCATGAAAAAATATAATAATACAATGGTTTTTTGATCCATCATTTGCTATGGGTACATTGATTTACCTAAAGATGTTAAACAATCAAATTTGGTTATGGCCCCCAAGGAAGATTGTATGGTAAACCAAAGAGTTCAAAACTAAAGAGTTCAAAATTTAGCTATTTTAAATTGGATTTATTATTTCAGTTTCAAGGCCACCCAATCCAAAGTGATTCTGAGCAGCTTACAGATAAAAATAAACTAAAGAATATATGGGGGGGAGAGGGACAACAGATAGAACCAAAACAAACCAAAAGGGCTCAACCACTATCTTAACTCAAGGTCTAGGAATTAGGGCTTTAGTAGTTTGCAGAATGTCAGAGGACTGGAACCAATCTCTGGAGAAGATCATTCCTCAAGAGAAGAGCATCACGGAGAAGACATTCTTCCTAGATCCCATAAGATGACTGTGACTATCAGGGTCTCCATAGGCTGGGATGGGATAAAAATTTCAAGATGGCAATTATCTCTGTATGATGAAAAACGTATTATTCCACAAGCTGACCAATGGATTGGATGAAAGTTTTGAAGACCAGATGAAACTTTATTACAATTACAATTGTCATTTGATTCATCTTTGGAACCACCATACTGAAGAAGAATACTTAAACCACTTTAAGCAGTAAAACAGTTATCCAAAGTTTAATGAAGTTTGAGACTGGAAACATGGAGATTTAATACTATGGTGGGTAACTTGAAAAGAGATGGAACATTAAGATTCTGACGTAGCTGCAGCAAATTCATTCCAACTCAGTGGCGCATGTTTTCATATCGCTGCTATAAAGCATGTCTTCATGCTTTATAGCAGCGATACAAACATGATATAACAAGAATTGGCAATAAATGGAAAATGCATCAGGTTACAAAAAAAATCTAGCCATTTACCTCCTGTTGTTGTATTTAATCCCACCAAGATCTTTCAAAGGCCAATCCTGTATATGATTATGCATGAGACACATATGGTTCCATAATGTTAGCATGTATTTGCCAAGCAAATCCTGATTAACATCGATAATTACATTTTCCTGTAGGAAGACAAAACACATGGACAATAATTTTTGAAATGGCTCATTTTCTTGAATGTACGTGCATGCCCACACATTAAGCACCATGCCTTTGATGTAAAAGTTGGACCTTAATGTTTTAATCAACAGTTGCCGTATCTGCACATTTTAACAGCATGCCAGTGCTATAAACTGTTAATGGAAAACTTCATGAAAGCCCAGAGTGCTTGATTGAACAGAGAAGACAAGGTTGTAAGGGTGATACTGCTGCAATTTGAGTGATTGCCGGCGCTGTGCCTTAATTACGATTTTTTGTATTAATACCTCTTCAGAGTTGATGTTGTGTTTGAGGCAGATTTATTTTCACCTCTTTTAGCCCCTGAAAACAAAGGGAGATAATCTTAATCAAGGCTGTTTGTGAGAAATTAGTCCCGACGATTCAAGGGAAACAGGGACTGCTATTGTTAGATTAGGAGTTGTGTTGCTAGTGAGGCACAATACATTCATATTCTTTTAATTTATTCTGATTGCCTCTTGTTCTCATTGCTGGTGATATTGTTCTCTACAGAAACCCCATAATGTGTCTACAGAAGTTTAAGATTGCTATCAGCCAATCTGCATAAAGTAGCAGGCAGGTTGATGCAAATAGCCGTTTACTTCGTTCTAGAAGATCTGGGGGCACCTCCTGTGGTGCATTGAGCAAATTTACTTCGGGGAAAGACAACTGGCAAATTAGTCCACATCTTTGCATGGGCCTGCTTGTTAGCAAGTACCCTCTAGCACTAATCTAGGCTTACTTTATTTTTTTCCCCTATGTTAAGTTTAGTACTTGTGATGGCCTGATGGTATTCACAAAAGAGATTAATAATACTGGAGCTTGGCAGTGATTAGAATGCAGTATTGCAGGCTAATTCTGCCCACTGCCAGGAGTTCAATCCTAACAAGCTCAAGGTTGACTCAGCCTTCCATCCTTCTGAGGTTGATAAAAGGAGGACCCAGATTGTTGGTGTCTATATGCTGATTCTGTAAACTGGTTAATGAGTGCTGTAAAGGACTATGGAACAGTATATAAGTTTAAGTGTTACTGCTATTGCTAGACAAGAGTGGGTTTTTTGTGTAAGTTTTTATGAGGCATAGTAAGTAGAAAGTGTTACACAATTCTGGCTGTTTCTTGCCACACACATATGAATTTCTCCTTTTTTGCCCTAATTTTGCAGTCACTATCAGTATCCAGTGTTGGCATTACAATAGCAGAGCTGCTGTCACAAAGAATAAATTCAAGTTATATGTGCATCATTGCATTTACTACTTAATTGCGTTTAACCTGAAGTCAGCCTCTCTGTATTAGAACTGCAATCTAACTTAAAATAATTTTTTTCTTTAGTTGCACAGTGAAAATTGTGGTCCTCACCACCACCACCACCACCACCACCATCACCCCAAAAAATGGAACAAAGCCAGGAGGATTAGTCATGTCAACAATAAAAATCATAAATGATGTTATGTATTTAAATGATTTCATTTCAGTCATGTTAATAATTAACAGTTGGGGTACACTCAGAGCTTTGGCAGGCTACCTATGGCCTTGAAAGAGTAGTTGCACAGCTCTAGATACCTCCTTTGTGATAATTGGGTGGTTTTGCCATTGGATTATGGTTCTGAAATGTAAAAGGGATGTGTGTTACTCAAGAATGGTTTTTTTTTTTTAAAGATAGAGTTTCCTTAGTGTTTTGCTCAGTTTCTGGCAACAGTATGGAAATGGTTTGCTCTTTCCCTCTTACGGGATGTTTATTTTTTTTTCAACTTGCCAGCCAGTTTTTTTTTCTGTTGGTCTCCCATCGCAGAGTCAGCCAGGTTTAACCCTGCTTAGTTTTTCAGTGTTACCTAAGGATGCCAAAGTATTGCAATTACTAGTGGTATGGAATTTTTTTCCTTTCCAGATCAAAAAGGTTTCTTTGGCAGGTGGTTTTAAATTTCTCCAAATAACTTTGAAAGATATAACAGAAATTATTATGGTAAAAACAGTTTTCATGGCTCTCAAATAAAACAAACAGCTCCTTCTTTCAAACTCTGGCAATCTTAAATGTTATTAACATTCTGAGCTGCAGGTAAATTAATTACAGTAACTCTGAACTGGCTTGTGGGAGCTTTCCATTCAAATATTTAATGCCATGTTTTAAATCCAGTAAATTGAAAAATCTGTAACTTGTCAACTTTTCTCTTTCATTCTGTATTTAATGTTGAAAGATTGCCTTTTCATTAAGGAAGTAAATTAACATTTGGGTAACTTGACAACTTTCAATCTACACAAGTGTGATCCCTGCATATTTCTGCTGTGCTAAATTAAACAGGGCCAACTTTCGGTATTTTTGGATGACTTTGAACAAGTAAGGTCTTTAAAGCAGTGCTTCTCAACCTTGGCAACTTTTGACTTCAGCTCCCAAAATTCTCCAGCCAGCAAGAAAATGAGCCCAGTCATTGGCCAGGATGACTTATGCAAGTTAACCAAAACATCCTGCCAAATTCTTTCCTTTTCCTTCCTTTTAAAATTCCTTTTAAAGCTTCTCTTTCCATTCTCTCCAAGGTTATATTGTGTTGACTAGATGTGTTCATTCATACTTTAATTTCTTCTACTGTAGGTTGCTTTGATACTCTTAGGGCAGTGTTTCCCAAACTTGACAATTTTAAGGCATGTGGACTTCAACTCCCAGAATTCCACAGCCAGCAATGCTGGCTGTGGAATTCTGGGAGTTGAAGTCCACATGCCTTAAAATTGTCAAGTTTGGGAAACACTGTCTTAGGGGGCTGCTTTCGAAGTCAGTTTCAGAAATTTCTCTGGTACAAAAAAACAGTGTTTAAAACCAGAATTTCCAGCATGAAAGAGGTGCTGATTTTATGACAAATGCAAGTTGAAAGTGTTATTATTTAGCATGTGAGGAGAGCATGACAGAAGAGAAATAAACATATATACACAGTCCACGTAATTATGAGTAAAACTTCTATGTGGATATGACTTATAGCTGGATGTTCAATTCAGCGATCTTGGTGATCACCTCTGGTGCTGCTTTATGCAGATCTTCTGGGGAACCAAAGAATGCACAGCCTGGGCAACCTTGCACAATATGTTTAATAGTTTGCATATCAGCACAGTTGCAACAAGGGGAATCTTTCCATCCCCACTGATACAGGGCAGAGGCACTTCTTTCCATACCACACCTCATTCTGTTCAATTTCAACCAGACAAAGTGAGGCAGGTCAAAACCAGGTGGTTTGGTAAAAGGAACACTAATGGTTAGGGCACAAGGAGGTCCTTGACCATAGCCAAATGAGTTGAAACTCTGAACTGGTGCATAAAACTTTCCTTTCCTTCACTTCCCCCCCTTTTTTTCTTTCTTTCCTTCATAGATTATATGCCATCGAGTCTTTTTAATTCCTAGCAGCCACATAGATGCAGCATTGATTCTCCATGATAATCTATCCCTAAGCTTGTAATTGTAAATCTGATTGGTAAAGATGGTTTACTTTTTTTTTTGTTTACTGCAGCACTGAAATTAATACTAAATCAGTGCTTATCAGCAAAGTAGTCATGCCGTTGCAGACCTCTTTCACTGGGAAAAGCTGTTCTAGTCAATACAGTCTTTTTATGAATGGGGCTTTGCTTTTATTTAAAACTTCACTTTAGCCTAGGAGTGATTTCTCTACAACCAATAAGTGCTGATCAAAAGAGCAGATTAGTTTGGCACTTTGGGAAATCTGCTTGTTATCAATAGGAGGAACAAAGCCAGACTGCAAACGGAATCATAAAGAAAAGTACAAAACAGCTACAAAACAGCTGCAACAAATATTGTTCTCTTTGTTGTCCTAAGTATTTGAAGGATCATCTCTTTCTCATATGAAATTGCTTATTTCTCAAGCTATTTTCTGTAAGTTAACACTTTTGGGATGTGGTGGAATACAGCTCTCCAAAAATCTAACCAGTTGTATTGTATGAAGGTTCTGTGAATATTTTACTCCTTCCCCTTCAGTAACTGGGACTGTTTTTTCAGGGACCAAATGAGTGTCTTAATTGATGTATATGCTTTAGCTACTCATTTCACTAACTAAAATTCTCAACCCTATCAGGCCCATTTTGGTTCTGTCCTGCTCCCTTCGGGAGTGCAGCACCCGTAAAAGCAGGATAAATGGTTCATTCCTGTCTTGGAACATTCCCCACTTACGTTATTCTTGATAGGTTGAAAATGTCAGGTAGATCTGCCTTCAGCTCTTCACAAAGATGCCCATGAAAGATGCTTAATGCTCCTTCACGCATTTTATGTACTGGAGTAGGGTGTGTGAGTTTTCTTCTATGAACAGTTCCTGCATGGATAGATTGATGTTTGAATTATCTAATGCCACATTTTTGCAAGCCGCTTGGGGTTTGATGGTATATAAATTTTTGTTACAGGAAATAGAGATATAAAATATGTGTGAGGCAGAGCCATAGAATGGGCATTTTACTGGAAAGGTGTGAAGTGACACACCTTAGTTTTATAATAAAGATGCATAACGGTTTGCTTTTATCATTTAAATGTTTTTCCACCCCAGTGGCAGTTCCCATGAGTTTTTTAGATACTGGACAGAATTCCTTACAGATTCAGCAGCAAAGTTTATGGCTTACCATTCACTGGCATTCTGGATAGCTGCTGATATTCCCTGCCTCTCCCATCCCCAGCTCTGGGTTTATTATTGCAAGTCTATAATAAGACAATAGGGAGACAAATCAGGTTAGCTTCCTCTTTATTATACGTTTGGCAGCTGGCATAGACTATATTGTTCCATTACCTTTTTTAATGTTCTTAAATGATGCCTTCAGATTTTATTGTGATGAATATTCTGTCTTCTCTTGTTAACCTATTGTGATTGTGTTTGATTTCAGTGTATTGTGGTGTATTTTATGTTACTGCTACTTTTATCTGATTTCTGTATATTGCTTCAATCACCCAATGGAGAGAAAAGCTATTTAATAAATATGTCTAATAATAATAATAATATCCACCCTTGTCAGAATGGAGATGGTTTAGCTCTTCCAGTGGACTAGAAGGAGTGGTGGAGGCAAAGGATAAAGAGAACAGATATAGAAGTGCTGCGTTAGAGAACAGATATAAATACTGAAAGTTTATCCTTTTCCAAATAAAATCCAGTGTATTTGATTTTGATTTGTTGCTACACAGAATAGAAAAAAAGTCATTCTGATATTCTATATGTGAATTTTCATTTGTTTCTGAGTTTTTATTACGGAGAGAGAGAGAGAGAGAGAGAGAGAGATGCACAATAAATGTTGGTGTCTTAATAAATGAAGGTTTTACATTTCTGTTTGTCCCAACAGAAGTTAAATACAGCAGTTTTTATGTTTTCTGCAAAAGCTTCTGCCAAGCTGTGAAACCTGGGAAACTCCGGGTTCGTTGCAAAACATGCAAACAAGGGACACTGACTTTGGCACGGGTAGGTTTAACTTTCTATCATTTGTTGTTTAGTTTAAGTTATTAAAATGTGAAGTGATAAACTGATTGGAATGGAATGGAATAATAGAGTTGGAAGGGACCATGGAGGTCTGCTAGTCCAACTCCCTGCTCAGGGGATTAATACTTCCTTTGGAGAAGCTGGCCCCTCATATCTGAAAGGGGAATTGGATGTATACATAACTGGTAGAAAATGAATATGTCATTCATGTTTCATTAAATAAATTGGCCAACATATCAGTTTATGTTATTTGATATATTCATTTTCTACCTGTATATTTTATTGATTTATTTGTCCATTGTAAACAAGTGTACTTTATAATAAGTCTTTGTAGCATTACCCTAGAGAGATATCTCTAGTTACATTATTATTCATGCTGAGCCACATGACAAGATCTTTTCAAATTCATGCACTCTCTCCTATTTCTTTAATACCTTCATTTAACCCTGATCATTATTCACTTTCTGCTGTGGTTTTCAAGGGTTGGCAATTTTTATCAAACTGTTTTCACATGATGATAGTGATATACTTTTGTTGCAAATTGTTCTGAGCATCTTTTATTTTAAAACAGTATCTTTGGGGAACATAGGCAGGATATGTATCTTTGAAAAATATATTCAATGTGCTTCCAGGTACATAATGCATATGTGCGTTGTATACACTCACAAGCCAGTTTGGCGTAGTGTTAAGGTGCTGGGATAGAAACCAGGAGACTGGGAATTCTAGTTATGTCTTAGGCATGAAAAACAGACTGGGTGACTTTGGGCCAGTCACTTTCTCTCAGCCCAACTTTTATTGTGGGTAAAATAGGAGGAAGGAATATTGGTATGCTTTCTGCCTTGAATTGTATATAGAAAAAAGGTAGGATAAAAATATCCCTCCCAAAAATAAGCAGAACTTGTATCTGGCAAGATCCTTGGCAACTTCAGCAGATAATAGGCTTCTGTATCATATAAGTGTAGAGTGTTCAGAAATTGTAGTTTCAACACAGTTGAAGTGCTTCTACCACTCTACACAATTACAGATAGCAAAATCAGTAGACTTTCATGTTAACATTGCTTCACAAATGAAGCCCTTCTGTGTCCTCCAAACTAAGTTAACCTGAGATCCTTTGTAGTTTTAAAGGGATAATAGCCTTCTCAAAAGCTTAAACTCCACCCCAGCTTCAGAGAGGATTTGGATTATCCCATCTCTTGATTCCAATTCCATTAATCTTTCTTCTTTGAAGTAACCACATTTAACTCTTCTCTGACCTGATCTATGGTTAAGGAAAAGCAAGCCAGTTTCATAAGCTAAAGTTCTCCATAACTCTGCAAGATAGTTCATTGTAGCTTTCTCCATTTGTCTTTACAGCACAAATAATGCTTCATTAGGATTTTGTCAGATTCAGGTTGGCTATTTGCCCTCTGAATCAAAAACCATATTTCAGTTCTGTGCGTGGAAGTGGAGCTGCAAGATGCAGTTCACATTGATTTTCTGTTTCTTTCAGACTTTTCATTGACCGTTTCAACTTTTGTGTATGTTACAGTAATTAGATATTTCCCCAACAACTAATATATCAATGCATTTACTGCAGAGTCTGTTATTGGCCTGGTTCTTGTGCTCAAAACACCGAGCTCAGCAATTTTACAGTCAGAATGTTTGTAATTGTTTTGTTTCGAAATTGGCATTTGGTTCCCTTTTTTTTTGTATTGATAGCAAAGCCAACAATCCCTCCTGAGTAAGAATACTCTAAGCCGTCCCTAACCTGATGCCCTCTGGATGTGTTGGCATACTGAAGGAGCTGTATTGACAGACTAAGGGGAATTGAAATATAAAAAACAAAAGGCTTTCTTATTTCTGCTTAAGAATTCCAATCATAAATCAGCTGACTTATGCTGGTCACTCCTTACACTATGCTTTACCATACCTTGCTAGGCAGTAGCACCAAGCTAAATTTAGTCATGATTAGTACTTGGATGGGAAGCCACCAGAAAAATCTCAGTGATGTAGGTTAAATTGGAAAGTAAATATATATATATATATATATATATATATATATATATATATATATATATATATCCTAAGTAGTAGCCATGGAAAACCTCTTTTAATTTTTCCTAGGAAAGCTATGTGGCACATGCATGAAGTCACTAGAGGCTAAACTGCCCTTGGAGCACATGTATTTTATCTTTCAAAGAAAATACTCAGCCAGAAGTGATGTGTTTTGATTTATTTTATGCTAAAAAGCTAGAGCTAAGCACCTCACAGCTAGAGATTCCTCCCAAAACTACTGAAGCATAAACAAAATATTTTTGTATTTCCTCCTCTTTTATTTTACTTATATCAACAGAACATAGCATAGGGGTCTGTTCCCAGCAACTGGACTAAATCCAGTTTCAGGCAATACCTCTGAACACATAAAGATGTTTTTCCTCTTTCCTGAATTACTGGATACTTCTCTCTCTTGCCCTATTTGGCATCTTTCCTCCCCTGACCACACACTCAAAGAGGATTTTCATTATAATTCCAGGCCCGTATTTCTTTTCTTTCTTCCTATCCATTTATTCTACCACCTAGCAAAAGTCCATTTTATGTCATTAACTTGGATGACAGGATACTTTACATAACGTTTGATTTATAGTTCTCATTCTCCTGCCCCAGTGAAGATTCTCTGAAGTTAAAAAAAAAAAAGGTCAGTTCAGAAAGAATAAAAGAGGGAAACCCCATTTTTTCCGTTTCTTTTTATAAAACTTGGCTGTTCTGTCCTTGGTAACTAAGGTGCTTGCTTGTGAGATCTTTGCTTCCTCTTTATGTCAGAGAAGCAACAAAACATAGATAAGCTGATACAGCTGAAAAACTGATGTTTTGCACTCCACTATATGTTTCTTGAAGGAAGTAATTTTTAAAATATTTGCTTGCACTTCATCAGCAGCACAGCAAAGTATAAGGCAGTTTTTGTTTCAATGAAACCCTTAAATTGGCATTAAAAAGAAATCAGCATTAACTTTCTTAAGGAAGTAAATTCTTTGCATTGGTGAACTAGAAACAGATAACTTAATTGAACTAAACTAAAGAAGGTGGACATTGGGAATATTCATAATTTAGCCTTATATTAATCTTTTAACTCATATTAATTTGTAATATTATTTTTTTAAGATACATTAGGAGTAAATTCTACATTTACAGAGTCCTTTTTGTCTCTCCTAATAAGAAAAATTCCCATTATATTTAAGGCTGCATTTTATGAGTAGTTCACAACCTGCTTATCTTAGAAATATTTGTTCTACATTGAATATAATTATCAGGAAATAATATTAGCAACATACTGAGAGGTTTTTTCTTTTCCAGAATAACTTGATCATCTTAATAAATGTTGCTGGCTCATATCTTGCCAAACACGCAACATGCTTTCAAATATGTAAAGTAGTTATAGGAAATGTGCTCCATTTTGTACTCTCAAAGTTGTTTGATAATTTGTAACACTGCAATATTAAACATTTCACTGTAAAATATAATTTAAGTATAATTCTCACCACCAGGCTTTCTTAAACGTTCAAAACTGGTCTGATATCATTTGTCCTGGTTTTGCATTTTTAAATCAATACCTGAGTTGGGATGGGCAATAATGTGGTAAAGCCAGCCTTCCCAATATATTTATGCTGATGTGCATATTCTTGCTCCATTATAAACATTAATTTAACTATGTGGGTTTGTTGTTTTTTTTTTTGATTCTCTGAATATACATAATAAATGTGCATAGTGAGGAAAAGAGATAATATATTGATATACAAAACTCAGACATGAAATCTTGATAGTACAGACGTAAAGTGAAATTTAATGAATAATATTCACAGGCATTTTCATTGAGTTCAATGGCATATACCAGAGGTCCCCAATCTTTTGGGCACCAGGGACTGATTCGATGGAGAGAGGTTTTTTCGTGGACCGGAGGGGGTATGGTTTTGCGTGCTGTCTCTATCCTGCGGATGAGGCTTGTTTGCACGGACCGGTTTCTGGCATGCTGTGCACCAGTGCCGGTCCATGGTCCAGGGATTGGGGGCCCATGGCATATACTCCCTAATAGGGGGAGCAGCCTGCAACCCCAGCATTAATGGGCCATGACTCTCTTTTCTGAAGCCTTTTCCAATCACGGTTGTCATGTTTTCATTCTATTCTAAGTCAAGAAAGACATGAAAATGCAAGGGTGTATACTAAAATAGTTTTAAGGTAGGTTAAAAACCAACAGCTAAATCAAAAGTGAATAAGAAATTCTTAACCCACATGTTTAATTTGGTCAGCTCACTTTGCAATATTTTGTTCTTTTTCATCCTAGAAAATATTGCATTTTATGGGCTATGTCTGCAACTTTTAAAACTTTTTTTTAAAAAAGTCTGGGACAGATAATTCCGTTGCTAAGCAGCACAACCATAAAGTGAAACTTCACATGGCTATGCTCAATTTACAACATCAGTTCTAACTGTAGGTATTAAGTGAATAAGCATGGTCACATGACTGCAACTTGTGACTTGCTGCCAGTTTCCCAAATGACTTTCCTTGTCAGAAGCCAGCTATCAAAGTTGCTGAATAAGCAGTTGGTAAGCGAGGACTATCTGTATTGTGGTTATACCCTCAATGGAAATAAACCATATTTTAAAGTTTTAATTAAGTCTGAAAAAAAAAATTTGAACCGCTATTTGAAAGGGACTAAATCACTAAATGGTCATTTAAGATTTTCATCACTATGGGATGTTGCCTGCCCACTCCAAATGTTTCCTATTCACCACAGTGCTAATTGGCTATGTATGTAACAAGACATAATAAAATCCTACAGACACAGGAATGACAGAAAGATGCCTTGCCTGTCATTCTCATTAAAGTGTGAAAAGCATAAGTTGGAACAGATTAACATGTTCTTTGTCATGACTGCTGTGCTTGTTTGAGTGGGTTTGACAAGTCCTTTCACATTAGATGTGGCAGCCAAAGGATTTTAAAATAATAAT